CTATGGATCAGTAGTTACCAGATTTACTCCGAGGCCGTCGTCACTTGTGGTGTGTGTGCTTCACTCGACGCGCTTCCTGGTTTTCTGAAGCAGAGGGTCCACTGATTTGTGCACTGGTTGACCCTTGCAGCTCAATTTATGAACCGTATCGCGTTCACATGCCTCTATGATTTTAGATAGATATGGAATGCGTGGTGTATCAGAGAAAAACTTATCAACCCCAAAAGTTTTATTTATCGCCTCATCCCTAAAAGAACTCTTAAATTACATGAGAGAAGAAGACTCACTCAAACTTATAAGAGCTCATTTCTTGTAGGTAAAATAATCACAAATTGCTGTAAAGTGAAATAGCCGTGACCGTTTCGATAGCGACTTTATTCAGTAACACAAGCAACTATGTATGTATTAGCTAGTTCCACATCTCATGGTCAGAATACCAAAGCTGGATGGGAAAAGAGCTGGCTATTGCAAGAAAGTCTTTGCCACAAAGCTTGTTTAGAATGTGATTTCTGCTATAAGAATCTTTCCATAACCCCGCAATTGCAGTTATACGTGCTGGACTTTGCTTACTTTTTGACACCTCAAATTGTTATGGTATTGCAGATTTTTGAGACTTTTCAAAATTATGGTACGTGCTCACGGGAAGGGGACAGTCACTAGTTTGCATGGTTTTTAGCGCCATAGACCCTTCTTCCGGTGGTTTAAGCTCCCCTCCTGATCATTGATCACAACCCTATCGCTATTTCTTGGTTTGATCTCTAGAGGTCCCTTGAAAAAACTTATAGTCATATATTCTCCATTTTTCAAGGTCACTCTCAAGTTCACAAATTCCGTCGCAATAAAACTAATTCAGGTGGAAGGTTGGCTTTTACCAGAAATGCCGTCGCTTATCACCGACATCATCATCTCGATGGACGACCACTATCTCTATATCTCGAATTGGATTCATGGTGACGTCAGACAATACGATATCACTGATCCCGAGAATCCTCGCCTGAATTCACAGGTCGGTTTTAGCATTTGTGCGGCTTCGGATGCAAATTGTAATAGTAGTGAGCCTTTGGCTTGCAGATTTTCATAGCAGATATGTACATGAACATGTACCCCTTGGTGAGACCTGTCGTAATTGCAGACTCAATAGCTTTTTGACTACAGCCTCAGAAAATTCGTTGTTTGATAATCGTTCTCAATTTTAGCATTTTCTATTTATATTTTTTACTTTTTCTTTCCTCCTGGCGGTCCTGGTTTCACTTGTAATAGGAATAACATGCCGACTCGACCGCAGCCAGTGACTTTAGTCACTATAGTTGAGACAAGAGTCGTCAAACGGAAAGTAATTCTAAGATCGAATTCACGTGTTTCGGCTATTTTCAGATCTTTCTCGGGGGAAGTATTCATTCCGAGAGCGGTGTGAAGATCGTTCACGACGAAGAGCTGACGGTAATTTTAAACTATACCTTTTCGAGGCATATGAATATGACACTAACAAGGGAGGTCTTTCAGGGCAAGCCACGCTTTTTCAAAACGGTTTCTTGCATATTGTAGGGACGCATGTAGGGAACACAAAACCATGTTTCATTTTCGCTGAACGGTTTTAGCAGTACCAAAAAAGAAGCATAAGGTACTGTTAATGGTTCGATCCCCGTGGCGACTAAATTTTGCATTTGGGTTGGCGCCTACGGTTTGGTGCCAAATCGCGCTAAATGTCAAAATCAGATGTCAATTCATCGTCAGGACCATTTTGAAGCCAACAAGTGGCCGCCAACCTTGATTGCAAAATTTAGTCGCCGCGGGGGATCGAACCATCAAGGGTATATTCACCACTTTTTTGATACTACTAAAACCGTTCAGCGAAAACGAAACATGGTTTTGTGGTCCATACATGCGTCCCTACAATATGCAAAAACCGTTTCCAAAAAGCGCGGCTTGCCCTGAAAGACCTCCCTTGTAAGATGATGGCCCTTACACCTACTTGCGTTCTTCAGGAAGCACCTCCTGCACGATACGTGAAAGGGAAACGTGTCGAAGGTGGGCCCCAAATGCTACAACTTAGCCTTGACGGCAAACGTCTCTACGTGACGACGTCTCTCTACAGAAAATGGGATGAACAGTTCTATCCGAATCTCGTGAAGTTTGTGCTTGGTCTTTTTTTGGAACTTGCCTCTCAATCTTCAGTCAAACCTATGTTTTCAGCAAGGGAGCTATGATGCTTTGTGTTGACATCGGTTATGATGGTCAGATGACGCTCAACGAGAACTTCCTGGTAGACTTCGGAGAAATGGAAGGAGGGCCCTATCTTGCCCATGAGATGCGCTATCCCGGTGGAGACTGTACTTCTGACATCTGGCTCTGAACTTTCACATTTCTAGTTGTATTTAGCATCACAGTAAGCAATATGGAACAATCTGACAGCTGTTTTTCCTCGATTTCTTTCAGACCCTCTTTTTCGAAATCCGCGCATATCTCTTGTCGTTATTTACTTCTGGAGTATTAGGTTGTTGGAGTAGGTGTCGCTCAAATCCGCTTAATAATAAGGGCCGTTTGGCTCGGCAATAGCATTCAAATACCTGGTGATCGTAGGATAGTAACACCTGAAGGTCGTCCTGAGTTCTTGGGCAGCGATCCGATTCGATAGCATCTTTCGGAGCGTCTTCGCTCATCACCATAAGTTGCGCCTTTGTATGGATTTCATCTCGTCCCGAAAACGCTGGAATATCCAGCTGCGTTAGCATTTGAACACCACTTTCTCTCTAGGCCTGTGACAAGCTGCGGTGAATATGTACAGTGGTAGCTCTCCCTTGCTGAAAGCTTGCGATAAAAAGGCAGCCCATCAGGAAGCAAAGTGGAGGTTTTCAATTGTGCAGGTATGAAGCAAAACCATGAGAACAGCCCCGGACCACAGAAATGGGTCCTCTTCGCTTAACGGCGGCTAGATTCAGATGGAGAGAAGGTGGGCGTCTTTCCGCTTGAGCGACGCAGGTATGTCTTACTAGGCCACTTAGGGCACACTTTTCGCTGCGAATCGCGCATCATCCCGTACCCTTAGGGGAACCGTCTGCCTTCACAGTAGTTATATCCTTCCTTTGACCTCGGAGTAAATACAATGGAATCCTAGCAGAGAAGTGACTTGTACCGCCTGAAGATTGTTGCGTACTCTTGTTGTAAGTTTAAAACGAAAAAGAGTCAAAATGGGCGACGATAATATTGAACACCTACGTAGTATTATACATATGTATCCCGTATGTTAAAGTTGGTTTTCGTTGATTATTTTTTCACTATTTCATCTACCTCGATGTTTTGTGTATGTGGCTAATAAGCTAATGCAGTAATAGATTGGTCGAATGTTTAATTGGGCGAATTCGCTCGTCAGTACATTGCAGGCGGGGTTCTTGTAGCAGCAAGTGGTGCCGTTTTCCACGAGCGCGGTCCAGGGATCAAATCATGGATTGTGCGTCGTTCATACTAACCATGTCCTCTATTACTGAGGAGTCGGCTGGTTGATGCCGAACTCGTCCTAGACAATAAGAACACTGACATGTGGTAGATATTTGACCCTTTCATTGCCTTATGGGCATCTTCTGCTCAAATTGATCTGATTGCCAGATGGATTCAAATTTCACTACGAAGTTCAGATGAGTGCAAGTGCGTGAGGAATCCAGAATCATCAACGGCAAAATGCTTTAACCTCATATTGTATATTCTTCGATTCTCGTTCTTCATTGACCGTGTTTAAGTTGGCCGCTGGGGAGTTCAAGCAGGGTCAACCGTCCGTTGGACAAAGTCCAACGCGACGACGAGAGTAATGCCGAGAGTGAACGTACGCACGGAGACACAGACGGCTCGCGGGTGGCGAGAGTGAATGCCGGCGCGGAGAGCGGTGAACATCGGTCCAACGTCGCTCCAATATCGGTCCAACGTAACGGTTGACCCTGGTGTTCCAGCCATTTATATCGCATCCAAACAACGTGATTGGTTCCTAGTCTTCCGGAATTTTTTTTTAGCGCGACCTCTCGATCGGCTCGTTGATGCACTCGCGACGTTGATGCTCATCGGTTGAGCTTAGGTTATTTTAGCCCCGGGTGGGTTCGTGGGAGAAATTGTTTTTATGTAGCCGCCATTGTTGGGAAAGCTGATCGGAACACCGTGCACAGCACAGTCCATTAGGAGAAAAATAGAAGCAACACGACCAGAGTGCTCCGAAACTTTCTTTCTAAATCACAGTGGAACTTCATGAATTTGCCATCACGTTTCAAATTGATCCATAGAGTTAGGATGAAAGAATGAGAATTCTAGTGATTAGTGGATGTGAGTTTTACGATTAATGAGAAAGGAAAACCCATTACAGTCGTGATCTCACGTGACAAAAACTGTTCCCAGAAAAGAACAAAACAAGTGAGATCAGGCCAAACAAACAACATGTTCGACTGATCACCGATCAAAATAAAAGCCTTAAAGTGGCGCGGAAAGCAAGGTCATAGCAGCAGAGACGGTGCAGTTCGTTACGGATCTGCTCGTTTAGCGTGGCTCCACAGATGTACTGTGCGATTTTGTCCTGTAATACATGAACTGCGAGCATTTCTGGTTTCTTTATTATTAGGATGGTAAGAAAGTCCTGAGCCGTTCGACACTTTTTTGTGCTTTACTTTTTTATTCCGCGTACAATGGAATCTACTCAACAATATTATCACCATTGTTACTCACTACAGAGTCCCACCTAATGGGCAGGTCAGCGACCTCCTTCTCCCAGAACTGAGCAGACTGAGAGTCAAAGAAATCGCGCTGACGCGTTCTACTTCTTTAACTTTGGTGAGTTTTTTCTTCAGCTAGGGATGCCTTAATGGAAGGATGGAGTAAGTGGATAATCAGAGGAGGGCAATGTAAGGGGAACAGGGTGGATGGGGAACCGCGGCCCAGGTCAGCTCTTCCAATTCTGCACGGGTGTCTTTATCTTTGTGAGGCCTGGCGTCATCGTGGAGTAGGTTGGACAGAAGTGGGGGTTCGATCGGTCGATTTGGGTCTTTCGAACAGCGTAGTTTCTAGAGCAGACTGGCGTAAATGCTGCCGGTAGCGGTATGTCTTTACGGGAGCATATCATAGTACAGCATTCCTCACGAATCCCAGAGGTAGCAAAGGAGACAGCTTTTGGGGTGAAGGTCCGATTTTGCTTGTGTCGGCAGGCCCTCTCTTCGGAGGGCCACGCATGTGTTGTTATAATTCGTAAGAGGACCAACTCTCATTCTTCGCTCTGTGAAGTGGGTACTCTTCGCGGCGTACGACTGTGGGCTTAGTGGGGGGGGAGGTATTGGCTGCCTAGCCGGGCGTGGGCCCGGCGGCGGTAATCCGGCTTCAAAGAAACGTCCTTTGTGGTGCGGACAAACAAGAAAGAAACTGACCGAGATGGGCTGACCGCTGAGCCGTGGCTATCGGTCAAGAATGGGTGGAATTCATCGATCAGCATTTCCTGTTGACGAGGTACGTGGAGGGGACCGAGGACTGTGGGATGGGTGCACCAGAGTCTTATCAGCAAGGCTGCGGGTGCTAGCGTCCGGATCCTCTTCGACAGCGCCGAGAACGGTGGAGTCTTCCACTGTTTGGGGGCTTCCCAACCTTGTCTTGTCTTCGGAAGCCGTGTCTCCTCCTTCGAAGCCTGCGAACCAGAGCTTGGCACTGATGATGGAAGTGGTGTCCCTTCCCAATGCGATGCTGATAATGTTGACGGTTCCCACTGCTCCTGTGCCGCAGCGCGATTCATTGAAGATGATCGCTCGAAAGTGTTCTTGTGGAATCACCATCATTATTAAAGTTAAAGAAGGCAACCCGGCAATATATACCTATTGCGGAGAAGTATGATCGACAACGATAGTCTATCACGTAGCAGATTCTAGGTATCGACAATAAGCGAAAAGTTCTGGAGCGTTTTTCAAAAACGCGCTCAGGACTTGTTTCTGTTACACCCAAGTAGTGTTACATGTTCACTGGGACATACAGCGTTGCTTCGCGTGTTTGTGGCCTCAATATTGTCGCAATTAAAGGATTATGTAAAATATATGGCAGAATTGAGGGAGACTCTATTGGTTTGTTTACTTTATTTCACACTCGCTGTTAAATGCAGCGTGCCAAATTGGCTACGATACCACGCTCAACAATTTCGACAACAATGGTGCTTACAGTGGTGGATACAATGGTGCCCAATTGCACCCCAGACGGCATCGCATGCACGGCACTGTACTCGGTGGTGCAGCCAAAGGAGCTCTCGTAGGAGCAATAATTAGGTGGCTCACAGTGAGGCCGGGTAATGCCTTCAATATAATTGTGTACATAGTGTAAATAAGAAGCGGTTGAGACACTATTAATAGACGGCTTTATTATCGTTTCAAGTATTATTCATTCCATGTAGAGATTTTAGGGAGGTAGCTCTAATTCAGGCCCGGGGTTCATACATAATGGATTGTAGTAAGGCTGGCACACCCCAAGCTGTTCACCGTTGTGGGTTCCTACAATGTAAATGCCTGAAAAGTTGCAGCATTATGAAATTTTAGGGTAACTTTGCTTGGTGGGAACAGGATGGGTGATCTATGACATTTGTGAGTGAGCGGGGAACGGCACCCATTTTGTTAGGGACGTTTATTTAGAAAATAAAAACAGGATACATTGTAGGTTGCACTTGAATTTGTCATGATAGCAACGATAGCGATCACTTCATAATACCGAGTGGTAAAGACGCGTAGAAAATCCATAATCATGAAGAATAGAAGGTCAGAGAAATCCCTAAAAAAAAGTTGGAACGCAAAAAGATGCTGTCGGTTCGACGCAAGACTACCATTGCCTGCCAAGTGATCGGGTAAACGATGAATGAACTTGACCCCTCACACAGGAATTCACGTGAGGAAAAAATATAACTGAAAAATGCGGAAATATCGACGCTTTTTTGTTCTTAATAGCATGACCATGATTACCAGTGAAGTTATGAAATATTGAACCTAGTGCAGACCACTGAAAGTCCCTGTTTGCCATGAGTAAAAGAGCAGGGGCAGTAAAAAAAGTCATTGTGTCTCCACCACTTTGCGAAATTCAAACCAAATGTGAAAATCGAATCGAAAAAAATGAAAAAAAATATAAAAATCGAATCGAAATGAAATCGGAAGAGCTTCGAAAATATGACTCAGCTCGAGCTCAATGAGCTCCTCAACAGATCGAGGAACACTACGATGTTAGCTGAAACCAGGGTGAATATCGGTCCTTGAGAGAGGTGGGGGGGGTCGTATTTGTCAGGATGTATTTGTCAGGATGGGTCATGGAGGTCGTGCACGTAGAGGGAGGGGGAGGCTAGCAACGTGCACATCAGTGGCATAA